TAGTCCTGTTCGTTATTCCTTTAGTGTCAAAACGCGCAGTTAATGCGGTTAAGGGCAAGATGACGATCACTTGTCGGCCTTTTCCCGTGTAAGCGCTGGATGTACGTGGAATATATCAATTTGCATGGTCATAGAGTGGTGGCCGGAATGACTGAATGTAATATGGCGCACGAAGCTTTACTACACTATCCAACTACTAATTGAGAAGCCTGTGTCTGAATATCTTTTGTTTAGTAGCTAAAACTTAACGACGATAAGACTGAAATACTTACAGTACAAGGTCCCGGCTACCGGCGATAAGACTGAAATACTTACAGTACAAGGTCCCGGCTCCCGGCGATAAGACTGAAATACTTACAGTACAAGGTCCCGTCTCTCGGCGGGGTTGAAGGGTGGTATGTGAAGTTAGATATGGAATGAATTCAAGCGTTATGTTGTGTTTGATGATATCACGGTGTGCACTCTATCACTTCAATTTCCCCATTTAAATAATACCAATTTTATTGTTCGAATGAAACTTTTTCTACACATTCTGAAAGGGACACTGTCAATGGATGACATGCGCAGTAACAGTCTCACCTCTAACGGACTTTGAAACTATAACCTTCGAGGTAAATCATTTTGTGGTGCTTTTGACGCACTTTGGAATATTCTAGATCTGCTTACGTTTACGATCTGATTTATGTCGCGCCAACTTGGAGTCATAAACTTGAAAACACTAGCCTAGTRTTTTCAAGTTTACTCGCGCATGTCATCCATTGACAGTGTCCCTTTAAACTCAAGCATCAATGAACAAAGCAGACGCACATGCATACGAGAAACTTGGCCTAATGTTTTTTACATACAAAAACTTTAAACAAAATTTTTAACAAAATTACCACTCTCCAAATGATTATTTTTAAAACACTGCCGGGTGAGCGTGAGACGCAACTGMCACCCTCACATTTGACTGTTTTCATCATTCTATTTACATGATTTGCTAGGCATGACATGGTATTCACCGATTTCAAAAAAGCTTGTCGGATAAAATGGCGAATGTCAATGTTTTTGCTAACTGATGAGAAATAACAACTGAATTTATACTGTACGATAGTTTGTGGTAAACATTGGCTCGATTTAGGCTCCATTTCTATACAAGGTGAATCCAATAAATGAAATTTTGTCAAAACAGTGTAACCATAGTCCCTTTCGATCGTGCATTCCCCCTTCGACAATCGCCGTTCTCCCCGACAAAGKTTTTTGAAGTAGGTGTATACTTCCACTGATGGATGTGAGGCAAACTRTTTGTGACGATGTCTCTCATAGCACTCCATACCATGGGGTTACGAAGAGAATGCATGTAAGTTGCCCATCTGACTGAGTCCAGACTGAATGTGTGCCACATGGATCTCCACGTGATTTTGAAAACAGCTGCGAATGAAAGAACACAGTAAACTGTAAATATAAATAGTGTGTTCAAACAGTTTACAAAGGGTTTTTTTTTTTTTTTCAGCTGGACTTCTGCTTCGTTTTTGTTTAAGATTCCATGTAAGCCACCGCTGACCGGGCATATCATGAAAAACATGAGCGCACACCAACCAAACACATCGCGGTTACACATTCTGCGAGATTTTCTTTACCTGATATTACTTGGATCTATRGAACTTTTAATTTCCTCAACAGCGTCTGAGAGGGATTTGAACTCAAATGTGTTCAACTCATTCTCTGCTAATGACTGGAAGTAAAAATACACAGTGTTCATKACTGGACAAGTTCAGCTATAATAAACAAAAAATAATGATCTAGTAAGAAATTTACCTTTATTTGTAAAAGAACTGATGTGAGCTTGTTTATTATCTTCAGTGTGGATTGGTTTTTAACAGAGAGGCTGACAAGAAAAACATTGGCTAGTTGAACATATGCATTGTAAACTATAACAATTATGACTGTAGCTACTTCCACCATTACATCATTCAAATAACGCGTGTAGCAAGAAATAGGAGTCCAGACGACATTTCTGTCTCGTTTTTGGTCTAGCAAAATAAGCGAGACACTGTATCTTCTTGTTAGGATTGGTACATATACCACATTTTACATGAAAGCAATAAAAACGACCGGCATCTCTATCGAGTCCTTTTCTTGTACGCTCCCTTGTTACTCATATACATCCAGTCCTTACAAGAAGATTAGCGATTTGCTCGTTTTCCGACTCTTGTTGACAATAATATAAAAGAATTGTACCTTCCGAGTTTGCAATTTTGTTCTTCTACCAAATGCACTGCTTCTTTATCACACTTCCTCTTCACACTGACAGTTTGGTCGAGGGTATGGAGGCCATGTTCTGGAGCAAGCTATAAACAGTCAAACACGCTATCATCCAAACGTAATAGTAAGAAGTCCTGTCAGACAGACTTGGGTTTCAGTAAATAGTAAGAAGTCCTGTCAGACAGACTTGGGTTTTAGTAAATAGATCATTTATCTTCTGAAACTTTGACTGACAAAGACATGTCGTCAAAATGCTAACCAAC